CCCGAGCGCCTATCCTTGAGCCTAGTGAAGGCTATGCCACAACCGAGGAGGAGCTAGAGGCCTTAAGGGCGATGGTAGAGAAGCATAAGAAGGATCAAGAGCTTCTTCGGCTTCGTGAACTGAAGTCCCGTATCGATAGGGGGCTTCCGATCGAGGATCTACCGCCAGAATCTTCCGTTGGGACCCAAAAGGCCCTAAGGGAGACCGAGATCCGCCTCGCCATGCCAAAGGCGTCCAACCTCACCCGGTACAAGGGGACATCGAAGCAACAGTGGCGTGAATGGTACGCTGACAACGAATCGTATCACACGCCTATCTGGAACGACCCCGCAAAGATCCAGTTAGGTCACCAGAACTGCAGCTTCAACCAAAAGGACCGTTGGACCCGTTACGTGGAGACGAAACGACGGGAAGATGGGGAATATGAACCGACATGGGAGGAGATGAAACAATTTATGCTTGAAGCCCTTGGCGGGCTAGAACAACGACAAAAAGATGCTCGTCTGAAGCTTAAGCATATCTCACAGAACGGACGAGATCCAACAACTCTCCTTACGCTCATGGAAGCGGAATGGGAAGAACTGGATTATCCTGAACAGGAGAAGGTGCATCAGTTATACGCTGCACTCGATCTCAAAGTCCGCGACCGTGTCGATTTGAAAGCAAACTTCCCTAAGACGGTTTCCGAACTCGAAAATCTTGCGAAAGATGCCCATCGGTGGGTAACCGAAACCGAACCGACCGGGAGCAAGCGAAAACGGTCGAAAGGTGACGATAAGGAGTATAAAGGGTCGAAAAGGAACAAGTTCAAGAAGTTCAAGGGCGAGAAGCCAGAACGAGCCGACGACAAGCCGGACAGGGACAACAAGTTCAAGAAGAAGGACCCTTGGTGCCATACGTGCAAGAATCACGACCACTGGACGCGTAAGTGCCCCAAAAACGCCGATAATGATAACGTGGTCGGCGCAGTCACCTTTGAGGACGGTAGGAACCGACTCCTCATAGATGTGAACCTGAAGGGCCCGAAGGGGTCCGAAGAGGTTCCAGGGCTATTCGATACGGGCTGTGAGAACACTCTCCTGTCCCAACGAATAGCCGATGCGATGGGGTTGGCCATTGAGCCTACTCCATCGATGACTGCGAAGTCAATCAACGGTCAAATTGTGCCCATTTTGGGGAAATGCACCCTAGCCATAGGAGTAAAGGACTCTTATGAGTCGCTCCGTACTGGCGAGGTACAATTTTGGGTCGC